CAGAATGCTACTCCCAGTTCAAGGGAGTCAATGAAAATCGATGAACAGCAGCTTGACCTTCATATTGGGAGCATAATAGAAGCTGCTGCACCAAGCTTGTGGGACATTGTTGTAAAGGTATCAAGCAGCACTAAACAGTCAGAGAAAGATTTTGGTAATGGTAATGCATCATCGTTAAATGTGTGTGGAATCTTGACATCATCCTAAAGTGAAGTGACACCAAGTGAGAGTGTTACTGCAGTTTGTGAGCCTGAGGGAGGAACTCGAGTCCATGCCCCCAGTCAAGAAGGTAATTACTGCTGTTTCACGAGTATGCTCTTAATTGCAATAAGTTCAGCCATGGCTGCCATCAGGCTTTTGTAACCCAGGTGGACTATTATCCCAATCTGTACTTTCTTAGGATAGTTAACTTTTTGTCTTACTGCAGTCTTTGAGCCTAGAGGAGGAACTCCAATTCCAGCTCAGCCCTTGCCATGAGTGAACGTTAGTTGATGTTCTATCCTGGGGAGTAATCAAGGAATTTTCTGTAAATGTTTACATATCTACTAAACATAAATTTAAAATAAACATTCAAATTGTCAACCATTTGACCTCTTCATAGTGCCTGTTCAGGAAAGCTCTGACCCCATTGTTGATCAACCTCCCCAGTCCCCATCATCACCTGAGCCCAGTGGAAAGAAGATTGGAAGTAGAAAGTTCAATGGAACTTGCATTTGGTATAAAAGAACCTTTGATTTATTTAATTTTGTATATTCATTCATTAAACTTTATTAATTTTATTTTCACCTTCATTTGCCAAATGATGATGTAGGAGTGTCCTTTGGCAAGTGGTGGCTGTTGATTTTCCTTGGGATAACCTAAATTATCTGTGGGCGCATCAACAGTCACCCTGACTTATGAGAAGGAACATGTTTACTATAGAATAAATAATGTAGACAGTTAACCTTTTTAAAAATCAAGACAGTGGTTAAGAAGTTCAATCAACATGGGCTGATCATTGATTAATGATTGAATGATTTTATTCTTGATTAGAAATCCTGCTGGTTCAAATGGCCATGAAAGTCTTCAGCGTTTAGGCCAACAACAGAGGACATTGAGAAAGATAAATTGTAATGTAAGTATCTTTGTGGTGAAAATTTAGGGCATTAAATTCTATCATGCTCAGGGTTTTACTGACAGAAAGCCCTTGTATCTGATGAGTATTTTCCTATGAATTGATAGATAAAATACCAAAAGGTGAAAGGTTTTTTTTGATGTTAGCCATTTTGTATTGCTTGAGATTTCAACTGCAAGGTGTGTGAAAAGTTGTGTGATTGTCTGGGTTAATTGAGATAATTAATGTATAATTAATTTAAGGATTTCCTCTGATGCATTAACTACAATTGAATTAAAAGGAAATGTCACTATTTAACCAAAATTTTTCAAACCATGCAGACTCACAGGTTGAAGTACATCGCATTGCTTTGGAGCAATCTCATCTTACTTGTGATGAATATGATGTCAGCTCTTTCTTCACAAAAAGTGGTGAGTGATTGAAATCCCAAGGGCTTGAGTGTTTGGTTCATGTAGTTTAAGAAAATATAAGTCTTAAAAGTGGTATGATAATCTTTTCTGAAAGGAGTTTTCAATATTTCTTTATTCAGATCACTGTGATGAATCAGGCAATGATGTTTTCCTTTTGAACGCTGGGAAGGTACCTTTGGTATCAAAACTGTTCCGAAGGTCAAAATCAAAGACGCTCACTGACAATCTCTGCTCCCAAGTGAGAGTATTTCTTTATGTTAATTAATAAGGTGGTAATTAGATGCACACTCTGCTCAGGATATTTGGGATCCAGTTGAAAGTGCAGTGTAGATACTCACATGATGGTTATATACAATTCAGTTATTCCTTGTTGTGCAAAATGCATTGAAATTGAGGTAAATTTTTTGTTTCCTTTAATACAAGATTTTACATCTTGTATTACCAATCATTAACTACATGTGGGTTAATCATCTTTGTTTGATCTTTGAATTCAGAAATGTAGAAGTCAGTGACAAGATTTTTCCTGATGTACACAGTACATCAAGAAAAATCTTGTCACAGACAACTTCACAGTTGTTATTCATGGAAAGGAAGATGGTGCAAAGCTTTATTCATTATAACTTTAATGTGGGTTAATCATCTTTGTTTGATCTCTGAATTCAGAATGTATTAGAGTACATCAAAAAAATCTTGTCACTGACAAATTCACAGTTGTTATCCATGGAGAGGATGATGGTACAAACTTTTGTTTGATTCAATTGGTAAAGAAATTTTACAAACTATTAAAGAACAGGTAAGAGAAGTTTGTACTGATGGAAACATATACCTACTTCAAATATTAGCAACCAAATCAACAAAGTCAGAAGTCAGATGATAAATTTGGTGAATTATACTAGAACTGGTAAAAAGCACCTTATGATGCTGATAACTTTGTACATCAGTGGATGTATTACAATTATTTTGCTGAAAGAGTACAGAATATGGTATTATCTGACAGATTTTAGTAAATAAATGATATAAATTAAACTGTGATTGAACTTTTGCATCATTTTAAAGGCCAAATTCACCCTGAAAGCTGTTTTCAAGCTTGCCAAACCATTTATCCCGTGAGTATAAGAAACAAATAGTTTATTTTATAAACATATTTTTTGAAAAATATGATACTGCTTGAGTTTTGACATTCTTGTAAAATTCAAAGTAAGTGGATTTAATAAAAGTGATTTTACCACACTTAATTGGTTTGAGTTCATAAAACTAAGGCCATTGACATTAAGAAATGCAATCAGAAAAAAACCTGAGACTGTTAGAAAGAGATTATCAGGTTTTATTAACTGACTTGATAATGTGACTTGGCCACTGTAAAGAATTTCTAAAGCTGATGTTTCAAGTGTTGTAGTCCTTTGTAAGAGCAAAAGAAGGAGTTTATTAGAACTGAAAGATAAAGCATGACTGTGAACTGCCTATAGAAGGGTTAAATGAGATTGAACACGTTGTAATAAATTCATGTTATGCATGTGAATGGCTGACAGGCTCAAATTTCCACAGAGTGTATGCTAAGATTTTATGAATGTGAAAAATATTTTGGTATTAGACAATTGAAGTTTGTGTTTTCAAGTAACAGCAAGATTAAAAAGAAATTTTCATTGGAAAACATCTGTCAAAAATGGGAAGTTATTAAGTTTTACCATAATGCATGTCATTTGCTGACAGTGTTCATCTTTTTCTGGGAACAATGTGAAGGGAAAGATTTCCATGGTAAATGATGTTGGTGAACTTGTTTTGTTCCACAGTAAGTACTTCATTAAAAGCGGTATGAAGTATATGCTAGAAAAGAATATGAATGCATTTGTTCTTAGCATTTTCAAATATTGGAATGGCATAGCAATGAAGGTAATAACTTTGATGTTGTGATGTACTGGATTGCATTACATTCTGTGACATTTAATTAGTGGGTACAAATTATTACAAGTGTAATTGAAAGTTAAAGTGAAGAAGTGAAAACTATTTTAGATTCAAAACCCCTTGGAAAGCTTATTGTTATATTATTAGCATTTAATGTGTTAAATTATGAGTGTTTTTCAGTTGATTTCCTTTTTGTTTTGTTTTAGGTATTCTGGACACAATTCTGTATTATACATAGAATTGTGTCTGGAATACCTAAAGCATGTTAGTTTCTACAGATACCATGTTGGGGTTAGAGGGGAATTGTTTCATATTGTCTTTTCTTTGTTTATATTTTGTAAACAGAGATTCAAGTTCTGTCAGATTTTTCTATGCTTCAATACACCATGTCAGGGATGGGGGTTTCTTATGGTCTTTTCATTCTGCATACCAATGTTGCATGCCGCCCATGGCAGATCAGTTGTCAAGCTGTTGCACAGTGATTGACATATGAAGTACTCTAGAGATTAGAGGTTTCTCAGTGTCCTTGTTTGGCCTACTGTAACAAGATCATGTCAGTTTTACCCAATTTCTTCCAGCTTAATGTCTCTGTTGTGATCATTAGGAAGCACTGAAAGCAAGAGCACTGAAGATGCATGGTAGGGGATCTTTGAGGATTTTCAAATTGTAGGGGCTTTTTTTAGGGTTTTCAAATTTAACAGTATCTTCATGAGAATAAGTCATGAGTAAGTTTCAGTCCTTTTAACATGGAGGAGTGCATAATGTTACCGCCATCAAGATCAATTGTGTGTTACATCAAAAACCGGCTGCAAAGAACACTGCATGCTTTTTTTTTGCAGAGATCCTTGAGGATCTCCTTACGAAGAGAAGCATAACAACAGCTCTCTCAGTATTCATCATTTTATTTAGTAATGAATATGACTGCAACCAATGACTGTGAATCATGCAGACTGTTACATAGCTAATCATTATAACAAGCTGGGCATATTTTTTTTCATTTTTGTAAACTGAAATATATATTTACTTATTATTTGTAAAAAAAGAGGTGATTATCACCAAAGCAGACTGTTAAACATGCTTACAGCCAGAGTTACGGATAAGAACTTTCATGAGAAGTAGGGCATATACTATCTCTTAATTTTTGTAAATGTAACATAATCATAAAGGGTCCAATTAAAATGCAAGATAATTACTTCAAATTTTGTCAGACTTCTTTCAAAGATGTATAATATATATAATATAATATACCTTGAGGAAATCTTTATATCCCTGACTTTTCCCAGAACTTGCAGCAACCATGAACCATGCTTCTGGTATAAAACTATTGGTGGAATTAGTTCCCACCAACCCCAAGTATTTCCCTTTGTTATTCCCTGTATGTACACACAAGAACATGTGAAACACCTTCTGCAGTCGCCATCAAATAAAACCAGCAGTGTTTTCAAATCAAATGTGCACCAGGGAAATCCAAAATGGCGGACGAAGTTTAAGAAGAAGATTTGCAAAATAAAGGCGTTTCCGCATCATTAGCCTCAATATCCATCGTGTTTTATTTTTTTTGTGTCTCCAAGATGAAGACAAGATTTACCACTGTTGATCCTTGCGCAGTGATCACAAAGCTGTTTCATTCACTAGTTTGTCAAATCTTTTTAGCTTTAAGACAAAAATGCAAGCATTTTAACTTAAATAAACACTGTATTGGCAAAGCTGCACATTCACGGCACTTATTATTTTTTAAATACTGTAGTTGTAAGTAAGGTGGCTCAACTCTATAAGCCCAGTGGCTTCCTGATATGCTTGACGAATGAGGAAAGTTTTCTTACAGGTTTGAGGGAAGGTAAGTCCTGATCCTTGTTTCGAGAAGAACATTGCTCGCGTGACATTTGCGTTACGTTTAAAAGTTTATTTAGTTTAATATTTCACCTTTTCTTTTCACTTATTGATCACCTTGATTGACACTGAATATGAGTATGTTGATGGTTTTTAGTTAGTTTTTACACGTGTCGTGTCGGAGGCATGAATCAGGATAGCTTTCCCGTTTTTGATGATTATACAGTTTAGTTTAACTCTGGAATCCCGTCACGAAGTAAGTCAGTTGTTTTAAGTCGTTTTTGGTTTCCTTAGGCTTTGTTACATGCAATTATTCGCGTTGATTTCTGTTAGTGTAATTTCTGTAAGACCGCATGTAATTAGCGATTAAATCTGTTCGTGTTTTTAAGATTATATGATGTGCTTAGGTCTCTTATTTTTGGTTAGGTTCTGTTGTTTAGAAATCTTATTTATTTATTGTTTCAGATCGAATAAAATTCTATTTATACGATTCGGGATTCTTTAGAGCCACGCAAGTAATTTGGTTTTCATCCGACGGACCAATCCTTCTTTTTTAAAACAGCTAGATAGTGACTAAACATATCTGACACCACTTGACCTCATCGAGCTTAGGGAACTAAAATACTCATGCTGAAATTTTGCTTTGCATTCCGCTTTGAGCCCTTAATTCATCCAGCTCAAAATAATGTTCTCAAAGAAAGAAACGGCATAGCAGTCAAGAGCTGGATTCAAATGTACATCAAGTTGCACTCAACTTCTTAATTAAAGTCAATTGAGACAATATTGAAATTCATTTGACCTTAGAGTGTTGAGTTCTTTTTATTATTATTATTATTATTATTATTATTATTATTATTATTATTATTATTATTATTATTATTATTATTATAGCACAGCTATCATATCTAACCTCTCATAATTGCCTCAAGGGAAGTTGGAGTTAACTCAATGACTGCTTTTGCATCCCCTAGTGAATATACTGGTGATCTCCTGTTATTGAAATAAATATCTCTGATCAGCCATACACGTAGCATTTTAACCAACCACCATTACAACAATTTCAGGAAAAACTTGTGATGCTCATTGATATCTGGGGTAAGAGGTTACTTCTTTGTATGTTTAAGAGGCCAAGACAAGGTCTACATTCAAAATTATCACCTTTTTCAGAAAACTACTATTAACAGCCTAATAGCTTCAAAAGAGAAAAAAATGCATATTAAACCTCTTATCATCTTACCAAGTTTAAAATGTGCAATAGCCCTGTTGTGCAGTTTGGCCTTCAGTTCTGTCTTATTGCAGTTCATTTTAATTCCTTTGGTGTAAAAATGAATAGCATTGATGAACTTTCCTTTCTTGAAGGCCTCATTTCCTTTATTCCTATAAACATCAGCTGTGGCTGCAAAGAAAAAAAATTTAAAAAGTCTGTGGTTATAGTTAATAATTATTAGTGAATATAAGCAGAACTGCCAAGATCTGGAGATTCAAAATCTGCAGATTTTTCCTTTAGTGCCAGATGCCACTTTTGCATCTGTCTGACTGAACCTATCCCCTGAAAAGCTTAGATAATGTGTGCAGCCCCCCCCTCCCCCTTCACAGGAAAGACTCTCTCAGTAAATTAATGAGAGATTTTTTGGTTGAAAGCTCAACCAATCAGACTCAGTTACTGTTGTGGTTGTTGTTTATAAGAAAGTGTAATCCCTACTTTGAAACAGTCTAAGTGCAATCAAGAAAATTAAGATAAGAGCCCTAATATTAATAAAAGGGCAGATAACATTAGATGTGGGAAATCTGGAGTTTGAATGTGATGTTTCTGTGTGGAGCTGAACCAAATCCTCTTTTATCTTGAAAGTTTGATGACCCATGTGGGAGACCCTCAGAGTCTGCTTCAGTGACTGTGAGACTCCCTGATAATCAGGGAGAGTTGGCATAATTATAGGTGTAGAAGAGTCTTCTGCTTTCACTACATTTAGATGGTTAAGTCAATAAGATCCAAATGTTGCAAGCATTAAACAACCAGAAGCAATATTACTTAATATAGACAAACAATATGTTATTACCTAAATGATAAGAAAAATGATAAAAAAGATGATAGTTATGATAATGCTTATAATGCGGGTAACAATGGTGATGATTATGATGATGATGATGATGATGATTAAGCATAAAACCTAAAACTTGTAGACTTTTTCCTTCTAAGCCATTTGTTAGTAAAAGTGCATTGTTTACCTTAAACACCTCCACAGTTAGAGATCGATATAACACTTGTATTCTATTATAAAGTCTTGACACTTCTGATTCAAATTCCCCAATGTAGTCAGGCAAGGTTCAAACCCCCTTGTTTGGCTTGAATGATCAAATGCTAATGCTTGTGGGTTGCCCAGGGGAAAAGGAAGGGGGGGAGGTTGAAGCTTTCAATTGATTGTTGCATTATAATGGAAAGATGATGATGATGATGGTAACTATGATGCAAACTTACAAAATGGATGTTGTACCATGATCAAATAAAGAATTTACTTATTATAACTTTGTGTACAGTGTACTTGCTTTGAACTTTTAGAAAAGAAAATAACAAACAAAGGTTTCTGTGTCATAGATCCTCTAAATGAACAGCATATTATAATCATAGAAGAGAGCCATAACTGGCCAATATCTTTTAAAGTATTAATACAGTGTATAATTATATCCTTCTCCACATCTGCTTACATTCTTGAAAATGGTGGAATAGAAGAAGTTCTAACAATAACTGAAGCTGAAGCTCAACACAGCTCACCTCGCAAAGTGTCCTCATCAAAATCTGGTGCATTTTCTTTTTCAGGTAAGTCTTCATTTTCACATGGAACTTTAATTGGACTTCTTTCTGTAGCCATAGCAACTGTAAGAAGACTGATGCTTCTTACAAAGGTGCTGCTTAAGTTATCCTGGGCTGAAAGAAAGTTGGTTGCAAATGGTAATAAACATCAGCTCAACATATTACCCAGTTGTAAAAAAAAAAATATTTTTTCCCTTCTGAGAATGGGAGGGATACAAAGACAAAATCACAAGCAATTAATGTCATACTATAAAAGCAGCAAACGAACAAAGATATCTACTAAAATATGATTCAATATTTATAAAATACATTTTCAATTGACTGAAATAAATCGGGCAAGTGTTGCAAGGTCATATAATTTGTTACAACAGCAAATCAAATTATTTAAGAGGCTGTAGGTAGTCGGGTAAAGTCTGTATTTAAGCAGTGGCCCATCCAGGCCCTTAGCTTATAATACTGGTTTCCTCACATGAAGTGAGTGGGAGTAACTACACCCCTTGGATGGGATGCTAGTCCATCCCCTTTCCCCCTGGCATTTCATCAGGCTTACCTGGCTGATTTCTGCTACCCATTTAAAGGTAAACTTTACTCAGATACCAATCTTTCATTACCAGTTGATGAATTGGAATCCTAAAAATCAAAGGCAGTTAGTTGAAAGGACGCTTCCAATAAATCACTAGGTGACATTTGAAGAAAAATCATCGTTTCTCAATATTTAACATGGAAATCAGTATAACAGTACAGTTAAAAGGGAGAATTTAAGCAGTCTATCAAAAAAGGAAAAACTTACTTTTAAACTGTATGAAATAATAAACATAAACACGTGAAATAAGCTGCAAATGTTTATAGGCTTTTGATCACATGCATCGTAAATAGGGGAGCACATTAAATTAATACTTATGTTAGCCTGACACGAAAGCTAGTGCAAAACACGATCATGATTGTGTGCATGACACGCAGACGAAACTGAAAGTGTTCCGATCATCAGCGCCTGCACAAAATCAAACCCATGACTTTAATATTCCTTTTAATTCTCCCGAATTACTTATTTTATCCAAGGCAAATGCCGGGTATTGCCTGCGAATTTTTGTGAATTCGACAGCTGTAACTTGTTCAAACAAGCTCAGCTTAATTAGCTCTTAAGTAACACGAAGCGGTAATACAATTTATACACCCCAGAATCAATTAAAAGTTAGCAATCCTCGTTAGTTAACTGCACGAACGTCTTTCATTGCCGGAAATCAGAGAAAATTAGGACAGTTTAAGAGTATTTGAGGGAGAAAATGTTGACCGAGAAATTCGAAATAACAGTATTTACCTTACATTCAAAAATCTGATACAACCATGCGTTCTTACCTATGTCGAGGAAATGGAAGGCACGTTTGACTGCTTTACGACCTTGCCTCCTCAATCCATCATGGAAGTGTTTTAAAAAAAAGTCACTAAGACTGAGAAAGTACCAAGAGAGAGTCGACAGCTTCGTTATAGAACGAAGAATCTTAACTGCGCGTTGTAAAGACGAAAGGGGAGTCCCCTAGTCCATAACTCCGTGCAAGCTTAAAACCGGAAGTGCGTGACTTTTGTCACGAAGCACCTCCATTCCTGCGAGTTCTTACGCGGTCTCGCTCTCTGCCGATATAGAGTCACGCACTCGTTCAAAAAAGCAAATTCTAAGTAAATTCTTGGTGACGGAGTTGTCCTTGTATCAGGATCTCTTTCACTCATCTTTGACTCAGCAGTTAGTGGTCACGCAAACAATGTCTATCGTGAGCAATGTCGCAAGAGCTCTTCTTAACAGGTTGACTGTGAAATTCGCAGGGGAAATTGCGTAGGACACTGATGGTTATGATCTATTCAAGCTCTTTGAGGACCTCTTCTTGACTGAGAATGAGAGGACGAGCATGTTCAGAGAAGGTATTCAGTCTGATGATCTTTCGAAGATCAGATGCTATGCGGAAGATATGAAGAAATCAGGAGATGTAAAGGGGAATAAGTTTATTGATGTCTATCAGAACAAATGTAGGAGTCCATTGAATCATAAGATTCTGAAAAATCATGGAGTCTTCTTGACCTATTTATGAGATAACTTGATTTGACTGAATGGCTGCTTCTGCATCCTTTATTGAGTCCTGGTTTTTATTATTTTATTTTATTTTTTTTTACGTAAATACTGTTACTTTTCTAAGATATTTTTGTCAATTCCTTAGCATTTTAAGGTAAGTTTAAAACTAACGCGGAACGGCAGTTCTCTGCAACGAAGTATTGAAATTAAACTTAGCAATCATCGGTAGTTGTAGCAGACTTTCACAACACCAGAAATCATAGAAAATCCGTCAAAAGAGTTAATTTAAGCTCAAAATAAAGGCATTTACCCGATGTATAAAGATCCTACACAACCTGGTTAAGTCACCCTGTCGGGTAAACGGACGCGACTTTTGACTGTTCTATAAGCTTTTTTTACAACCTTGCCACCTCAATCCGTTCTGGGAATGTCTCAAAGGAACTCATTAAGATTGGTATGGTCCAAATAAAATTAAACACAAACATTATCGAACGCGAAATCTCAAGACAACTACCCAAACTACAAACTTGCCAACAGCGTTGCTGTCTAATATTAGGAGTTGTTTTTTCACGGGAAAAACCGAGGCTCAAGCTGGAAGTAGATGACACAGAAAACCGGAAGTAGAGAGCTTCTGCTGCATAGTATGACGAAATTATGGCTTTGTGGTTCAAAATACACACTGCGTCTTTCTTGTGTCACATTGTTCCAACATTAACAATTAAAGCAAAGTAATAAATTATACAAATTTAGGACATTTAGCTAGAAAAATTTTTTTAAAACATTTAGTTCAAACGATATGGAGTCGCTGAAAAACTAATCTACGTAAGTGGTAAGGCGTAGCAACAAGAAGCAGGAATTGTACAAAAAAAAAAAAGGCGAAAACTTTTTACGCTCCAAGTGAGCGCAATCATTTCAGTGAGCTTGTCAAGTGATCAGAGTAAGCGAAAACGAGTGGCTCTGAGGACGAGAATGAAACTCTTTCGATTTTCGCTGTCTTTCTCACTCCAAAGGTGTATGGAAACAAAGAATGTTCCTGTCGTCGATGAAAAACTTTTCCCAAAAGAATTTCATTAACATAATTCTAAAAGTGGTTGTACCAAAGACCTCCAGCAGTTCGTTTACGGTATCCAAATTCAAATCGAGCGAGTTCTTAGCTCGATCTGTTTTATGCATCTCGCGGATTTCCACACTCAGGGCCAAAAGGGTAGCCATGAGATTGATAAAGGTAACAATGAAAAACAAGAACACTGTCAGTTTAGATATAACAAAAATGTAAATGGGATATTTCTGCTTTAGGGAGTTTAACCTGGTGTAATTTAAAAATCCCACGACCACAGTTCTCAGAATGTAGCTTACCATCAAGCAAACAATTACGACCCAAGATGACAAAGATTTGATAGAAATTAGTAGCTTAATATATCGAAACAAGGCGACGGTCAAAAGGATTATTAAAGTCCAAAATGAAGGAACGTATTTGAGCAGATGTAAGATTGCCTTGTAACCGGGGAACTGCGGAACATTCTGAAGGGCAGCTATAGAGATAGCGGTGAAAATACATAGCGAAGCCAGCCACACCATCGTGACATCCTCTGAAAAAGGGAAAGCCGCATCTGTTTTGCACTGATATGCAGTGGATTTGTCCCGGAAGCAAGCAACATCACGAACCATGTACAGAAATGCTCCAACTAGCTGCCATAGCAACAACAAACTGAAAGCCAGTGCTGAGAGTTTTACATGATACGGATTTCTTTGTCTTTGTCCTGGAAAAAAAATGCCAGTAGCAATCGGCTGATTCCTGTAACAGTGGCCGGCGTATCTCGATACAAGTCGTCATGGCAATGTCAACACCACCTGACTAGGATAAGATAAAATTAAGTTGACCTTATAATGAAACAAATATAAGAAAAATATTACAAAGAGTTTCCCATTGATATCAGCTGCACCCCTAAGCGGTCGAAAGACTCCATCACTTTTAACCGAATATACGGTAGTTTTTTTTACCCTAACTCTTATTCTTGAGAACTTAAAAGATTACAACTGTTATGGTAAATACAGTAACACGCTCTTTAAGTGCCTTCGCCGTAAGCTAAACCAGCTTTTACGTATGTAGCACTTGTGATTGGTTTCTTTGATCACCAGACAATCGTGTATGATCAATACAGTTTACCCTGATACTGACATAATTTTTCAGCATACCTTCTATTCGCTCTCCTGCGAATTATCTCTTGACAAACCTTATTACGCCTCAGCTTCTTGGGAAGGAAATAACACAGTGATAATCCGCAGCTAAGAGAACCCGTGTTAATCATTAGTTAGCTGTATTTTCCAATTGTCATTTCTTAGGAGGAAAACTTCAAGATATTTAGACCCTTTTTGAAGCTAGATTCCTTTTCTTTTCCAGTCTTTCGAGTTAATGTTCCATCCAAAGCAGTTTCCTTGTTGATTTCTGTACCTTGTTTGAACGGAATTTGATCATATGAATTAACGTTTAAGCGTTTGACGAAAATGAAATACTGTATGCATAAATCAATTGATTGAACAACTTGTCAGTTTAGTCGTTGTCTGAGTCACTGCAAACAGCGAAACTGTCGATATACTTCTTTTCATTTCTGTTTACGGCGAAAATATAGATATTTTTCACTGATTTATGATACAATTAAGTGAAATATTGAATGTAAAGATCCTTGTTAATCAGTTCAGGTTAGATTAGGAGCAATCCTTTGAATCAACCTCACCTCTTATTATTTTAAACACTGAATTAGATGCGTTTGAACAAGTACGTAACAAAGAGAGCACGCAGTCTCAGTATTAAAAATAAAATGGAATTGGATCATCAGGGTTTAAACCCGTTTATATGTTAATTGGAAACAAAAGAATTAACTAACAATTTCGCTTGAAACATGAAAACACGAATACTATGCCATGTG